AGGTTGTCCTGGAACTTTCTCTGTAGACTAGGATGGCCTCAAACTCACAGAGGTCTGCCTGCCTCTGCCTCCCGAGTGCTGGGATTAAAGGCGTGCGCCACCAACGCCCGGCTGAAGCAATGACTTGTAGTGATTGACAACTGTGATGGATTTACCTTCTTTTGAATTTTTCTTGTTGATTTCCTAGGGTGTTCTGTTCTATGACCAATGGCGTATACCATGTACTGCAAATTTTATGCTATATGAAACAGCATTGTGTCTGTCCCCAAAGAGTTGATTAGCTAAAGAAGAAATACTGAAAGTAAAACTTATGATGAATAGCTTAACTTCTAGAGAATTTTGGTGCATTTTTTTGTTTTTGTGTATGTGTATATGGTGTGTGTGTAGTGTCAGTTCTCACCTGCCTTGTTTGAGATAGGTCTCTTATTTATTACTACAGCCAACAGACTAGCTGGCCCTGACCTCCCAGAGATTCTCCTCTTCTGTCTCCCATCCTACTATTGGAACACTGGGATTGCAAATATACATTCTCTTGTCTGTCTTTTCTGGCTTTCCTTGAGTTCTGGGGACTTGAATTCAAGTCTTCATGTTTTTATGGCAAGTGCATTTTTCTATTGAGCTGTTCCATCAGCCCCTACATGTTTTAAAGGATGAATTTATGGTGCCTGGGAAACTCAAGATGCCAAGTGACTGATTATAACAAATAAGGAAATCTAGTTGATCCTAGAATATTAGCCTTCTCGGGGTAATGATTCACCCTTGATTTTCTTTTAAATGAACATCTTGGGAAACTTGACTCTGTTAATTTTATTTAGTAGCCTAAAGGTTACTCCATTTTTTAGTTGGGCTATGTAACATGGCGTCTTAAAATCTAGCCCCTTGACAGATGACAGAAGCAGCAAGGTCAGTGCCTCTTGCATGGTTGTAAAGGAATTTTCTAATTATCATACCTTAGTTGGTCACTAAGACCCCCATTCCAGAGATCTTGCCCCTCAGGGGACCAGGAAGACTGGACAGATGGCCCTTACTGTGTTCCTCCAAGTTTACTACTATTGGTTAATATCACACCTAAGCATTAAAAACTCACTTTTCATGACTCTTTGGGTCTTCGTTTTCGAATGCTTCCATGTCACATAAGACCTTGGCTTTCCTCCTGTCAGTCTGTCTGTTACTGAGGTGTCAACCATGAATCTTGTAGTGGGCAAAGAAAAGATCACACTTGTGCCCTACATTCTCTTCCTGAAAATAAAAATTTCTCGTAGAATTCTGCACTGAAACTCCCTGTCCCTGGGCTTTTTTTTTTGTTGGGAGACTTTTGATGACTGCTCTATTTCATTAGGGGTTATAGGTCTATTTAAATTGCTTATCTGTTCTTGCTTTAATTTTGGTAAGAGATATCTATCCAGAAAATTGTCCATTTCCTTTAAATATTCAAATTTGTGGAGTACAGATTTCCAAAGTATGACCTGATGATTCTCTGGATTTCCTCTGTGTCTGTTGTTATGTCCTCCTTTTCATTTCTGATTTTGTTAATTTGCATGTTCTCTCTCTGCCTTTGGTTAGTTTGGGTAAAGGGTTATCTATCTTGTTGATTTTCTCGAAGAACCAATTCTTTGTTGCATTGATTCTTCCTATTGTTTTCCTAGTTTCTACTTTATTGATTTCATCACTCAATTTGATTATTTCCTGGAGTCTACTCCTCTGCGGTGAGGGTTCCACAGTCTGTGGAAATGCTGGAAATATAAAAGCTGGGTAAACGATCAGGAACTACAGATGCAAGCATAACCAACAGAATACAAGTGATGGAAGAGAGAATCTCAGGCATTGAAGATATGCTAGAAGAAATAGATCCATCAGGGCTCTCCTAGGAACTTTGGTGGCAGAGGCGGGGGGTGGGGGGGGGGGGGGGGGGGGGGGGTGGGGGCAGAATCTGTGTCTTCTCTATTTAGTTCATATCAAGTCAGCATTCACACTATCAGAGGGAAGTGACAGTGGTTGCCCACTGGGAAGGAAGTGTATGCTGAACAATGGATGTGTTCTGAGAGCTTACCTCTTGGTGCCATTGCCATCAAAGAATTTCTGCTGTCTTTCTTTGGTCCTCTAACTGGGGTCAAGAAACTTACTATTCTGTAAAATGGATGGGACTTGGCAAAGTGATGTCCGTTAAAACAAAGCTCACAAGAGCATTTATTTAAATTCAGAGCACCAACTTATTAATTAATTCACTCTCAGAATCATGTCTACCCGAAAATCAGACCATCGTGTGACTGGAGCAGCACACCATAGTGGGCTGATGGTGGGTTAAAAAAAGGAGCCAAGTTAGGTGCTTCATGGAGACAATGGAGTATGAACAGGGGGAGGTAGTTCTATCAGACCCACACTGCCACTTAACATGGTTCTTGAGATGGCTGTATCTATTTCCAGACCTGTACATAGGTTGTGTGCGTGCGTGATTAAGTTCAAAGACACAGGTACAGTCAGGTATGCTAGATGACCTTAGAATACAGTGTAGCCTGGTTTCTTGTTATGGCTTCTTTTTTGGCCATCCCTCATGGATTTTGGGCCAGATAATTTTGCATGGCTCAGTTGGATTTTTGTTGATTTCCGAATTTAATTTGCTGGAAAGTCTTTGTGTTTTCCCCCTTGCCTGTGTGATGTGATGTGGGGTGTGTGTGTGTGTGTGTGTGTGTGTGTGTGTGTGTGTGTGTGTGTGTGCACGCCTCTGCACACATGCTATGGTAGTAGTAGCATACTTATTTTGTACTCACATATGGTCCATTTTTCCATGTCATTGTTTTGAACAGCTTTTATAATAAAATTTAGTCTTTTCCCCAAGTCGGCTATTAGTGAAAAAGTGGGAACCTGGGAGAAAAATTTACAGTAGATATTTGATAATCTGTTACACTAAGACCGATGACATAGATCTAACCTAAAAACAGCTGAGCTCCTGACACAGGCCAGCAGGACATCTGGAATGAGGTGCCAAAAATCAGTGTCACCTAGACGTTACTCTGTAGCATGGTGGGTAGCATGGTAGTTCTGCTGCAAGTTAGGAATGACCTGATGGCCAATTAAGGGCAGCTTTGTGGACATAATGTGGCCTGAGATGGCCAGAGGGTCAAGCACAGGCCTCTCTGCGAGAGCCACAACAGCATGTGTGAGGGGCCTAGGACAAGCTAGTGGCATGGTTCTGCTGGTGTTTTCCTTTTTTAGGTGTGTAGCTTCTTTCCACTGAGTTACAAACCGAGACAGTTAATCTGACGAAGAAAATTTGTATGCTTATTAAGTATATATTTTTTATTTTGCCCTTGACTTCTTTAAATTAAAAGCAAACCAGCCAACCAACAAACCCCAAAACTCTTTACAGAAAGTCTTGCTAGGTAGCTCAGGCTGACCTGAAACTGGTGATCCTCTTGCCTCAGCTTCCTGACTACTGGGATTACTGGTGTGTGCTACCATGACTTTCATGGCCTTTTAAAAACACCACTTTGAGCACAACTTTCAGGAGAAACTGGTGTTTCTAGGGGTGCCCCATATGGAAAGATGCTTCGAAGATTCTAGAAGAATTTCAATGGCAGGACTGGACCTGAGCTGTGTGTAAGGCTCTGTTTGTAGGAAATTTTAACCCTGATAACCACTGTGGCTTTCTAGATATTCTCCTCCTAATGTCTTTGAGTTTTGTTTGTTTGCCCAAAGCTTTCACTGCTCTGAGAGGAGAGGCCAGCCTGCCAGTCACTGAGAGCCTGCTGAGGAAGATGAGCCCAGCTGGAATTTTGCACATTTGGAATCAGGCCTTGCTGTTAATTAGCTGAGTGACCCCTGGGTGGACTCAGTCTCCCAGGGTCTGTTTCTTCTTTGGTAAAACAAAGGCTTGGAAAAGTAAACACAGGCTCTGACCACATGATAAGAAAGGTCACTCAGCTTGATTATGTTGTGGCTCTGTGGATGGCAGCACATCAAGACTCCTTGTCCTCTGTGGGCTCCACAGAACTGCTTTACTCTGAGCATTGACATGTGGCTTGTCACACAGAGGCCACCTGAAGCTCTCGAGCTAGGCAGGTTTGGGAATTCCTTCTTTAGTGGAAGTCTTCCCCTTCTTCATGCTCCCCCCATCCTTGTGGGTTTGGCACTGCTTGCTTGCCTTCTGCCTTCTTCTTCTTGGTGCATCAGCTTCATGAGGAAATAATAGTGCCATTGTTTCTTGTTGTAGAGATGGTTTCCAGTTTCATCTTAATCCTGGGCCATTGTGTTGTTTTTACAAACTCAGTTCAACACCCCCCACTCCCCCCAACCCCCCCATGCAAGATGCAATTCATTCTTTTAAAGGACTCAGCAGCCATCCACAGGCCTGTTCTCATCTCCTTCCCAAAGTCATAACTATATATAGTAAAACTGCACGGGAGTATGCACTGTTTAATTGGGCCACCTGGCATCAGGGTTAAAATGGGTTCCATCTGTATTTAGTTTGCAAATGCTTGTGAGGTATGTTCCAATCCAGTAACCTTCCAAAATGGTTTTTGTGGGTTTATAATTAGTGGCACCTGTAAAACATTTCTTTTAACCATGTAGCTTCTTTCTTATTAACCATAATCTTTGCGATTTCATGTTTTCTTTTCTTTTCGTTTTTTTGTGAACTGGAGCTGGCAAACTCTTGTTACCTTGCCAAATCTCTTACTTCTAGCAATGGGCCCAGGTTTAGCCTTATAACCCTAATTAGATGTGGAATTCGGGGAATGCGGTGCATGTGGCTGTTGTAACTTTTATAACATGACAGTGAACTTCTGATGTCTTCATGGAAAGCTATAAAGCATTCTTTGTGTCTCTGCCACCTAGTTGCTTCCCACCACATGTTTATTCATAGGAAATTCATATAAATCTCAAGGTACTTCTAGGTTATCCTAAGGAATCTTTCCTGAACATGCATTACACATGAGGCCACTATGCAAACAATAGTCCCCAATTTTTCCCCCTACATTTAACTCCTTCCCTTTTCTCTTCAGAGACTAAAGAGTGCTGACAATGTTGAAAGCTGTGCTGAAGAAGAGCCGAGAGGGAGGAAAGGGAAGCAAGAAGGAAACAGGTATGTATGCAAGAGAGCATGATTTGGGCTACTATGGTGGGTGGCACGGGGGGGGGGGGCAGATCCCACCCCTTCAGACTAGGTAGGTGCATGGCTTCGAGACATACAAACCAAGCCGTGTTCTGGTTGCTGGGAGGAACTCTGTAGTTCTTAAGTTGTTTTTTTTTTCTTTTTCATTATGAGAAGTGATGTTGGAAAGAAGTTTCAATTTTGAACCAAACCCTTTCCCCCCAAAATGTTAAAGGTTCATAATTTTAACAAATCATTCAGATCCAGAAACATCGTTAAGACATTAAAGGATACCAGTTGTGTTTAGGAATTTGATTTCTAGAAAGCCCTTTCCCTTGTCCTACATGGAGTTGAATTTTATGTCTGACCAACTGTTGCCTGACTGGTTCTTGTGTTTTTGAGTATCGAGTTTTATTCCTAACAGGTGTAGCCCCACTTAATGCCAGACTGCTCACTCACTGTGAGAGGAGTGGCTTAAGTTGGCTTTGGTTTCCCTTTCTGTCTGTCTGTAGTGTTTTGGTGCATACTTGGCCACTGTGACCCGAATAATATCACATTCCATGTGGTAACCTCTTCTATGGTTGTTCTGGTCACCCACCAGTCAGTCTTGTGTTCCAGTTTCTCTTGATAGAAAGTCTATGCATGGTGTATTTGTATTCACAGTTAAAATGAGCTTTTGGAACTACCCTGCAATTCACTCTTTAAACTCAACGTGAAATCTACTCTTATTGGCAAATGGCTCCTTTTTTAAAGTAATATCAAGTAATATTTCAGTTTTTCTGTCATAATATTATAGATAAGTAAACTTAGTGTCACCAAGTATAATTAACTTTTAATTCAAAAGGCCTATATACTGTTAATTTGTCTCCGTGCTTTTATAAGGGACTCAGTAGACCTAAATGTTTTGGCTATATGGGACCTAGATAAAGTTTCTACTTATTACTAATTATTCTTGAGACCAAGCCTGCAAAGTGGCAAACTCACCTCAAAAGAGAAGCCTTTATTCCAAGGTTGCTGTTAGGATTCTATTACACACTTCTCATTAATGCCTGGGTAAACAGATACAAAGCATAGAAGGAAGCAGATTTTAATGATATAAACAGAAGGCTTCATAGTTAGCTCATAACCTTAGAAAATCAACCCCTAGCTTTGAATAATTAATTAGAATTGTTGCTATGGAGAAATTTTAGTTCACATAATTTCTTTCTAGGGGCACATTCATCCTCTGCTAGGTCAGGGCCAAAATGTCTTTCTCATTATTTTTTTCTGAAAGCAGTTAATTTTTTTCCCAAAGTTTTGGCTCATTTGATACTAATTCTAGAGACTGTATTTGTTGCCTTCGAAACCTTTGTAAGTTTTAGCATAAACGTAGATCCTAAGCTGTCTTGGGATGGAGCTGCCAGGCAAACGGGTACCCACCCCTCTCCTTCCCAGAACCAGGGTCTGCAAGCCAAACTCCCTATAGAGTAATGGAATCTCTCAACAATGATCTTCCTCTTTCACGGTTCCAGGACCATGGGAAATAAGTTTAAATGATGTTCAGCACCTGTGCCTTCAGTCTGGCCAGGCAGCAAGCATAGCTTGCCTTAGGTTTCCAGTTTCAAAACATGGGTCTTGGGGTTTAAGTCTCCCTTTGGCCTTTTAAGAGTAACTACTGCTTTTTCTGTGAGTCCTGTCTTTGTAATAGTTCCCACACTCTGGGTTTTTTCACTAGGGCACACCAACTTGAAAATATAATGGGAACATTTTGTATAAAGTGTCTGTGCAGTCTGTGTTCTTTGCTGTTAACTGGAACCTGGTTTCTGTTGTGTTGGGAACAAAACAGTTGGGATTTTACATCCAGATGAAGTTATGTGAAAAGATTTGGGTACTTGGAATTTGACAACTTCTTTGTTGAGTTCTGTGCCAACTCTCATCATTTAATGGAATCCTAGCTGAGTTTTTCTCTAAGTTAAAGCTAGCAGGTCTGATACAGCTGTGAGACTGGCAACAACTTCTCTTCCATGGAAAGGTTTTGCAGTGCTGTTTCCAATTAAAAGCAATCTTGTTTGTTTGTTTGTTTGTTTTCCAAGGCAGGGTTTCTCTGTGTAGCCCTGGCTGTCCTGGAACTCCCTCTGTAGATCAGGCTGGCCTCCAACTCAGAGATCCGCCTGCCTCTGCCTCCCCAGTGCTGGTATTAAAGGCTTGGGCCACTACCAACTGTTTGTTTTCATTTTTTGGTGTTGTTTCTGAGGCAAGGTTTCTGCATGCAGCCCAGCCTGGCTTTGAGTTTATGCTCTTCCTTCCCTTGCCTCCCAGTTGCTGGGATTATAACCCTGGTCCACCACCCCTGGCTAAGTATTAACAGCTCTTCCTCACAGCCACAACTAAGGATTCAGCCTAGGGCTGTCAACCTACAAGTGAGCATTTTGCAGCTGAGCTGTTTCCCTAGAAGTATTGAAAGCTTTTCTTCTAGCCTCTGTCCCAAAAAGAATATATCCTATGTATCTACCTTAAGCTGGGTGGAAAAAGTTAGCAAGTGTTGAGACTCAAAGTGTGTGTGTATACACATATGTATATATTTATTTATTAAAATGTGAGATTGAATCCCATTGGCTGAACTCTAAAATTTTGCAAAATTCCCTTTTAAAATGATTATACTTTTTTTTTATGCATGTAGATATGGCAGTTTCTGCAAGCTAGAGAGGCATGTTGGGGAATGAAATATCAAAATCTTTGAGTGTTTTTGGGATGCATGTTCTCTTTGTCCTTGTTGAAGTTCCTTCTGTAAAAAATGAGCCACATCTGTTTCTTGGCCTTGAACTAGATCTTTGGGAGCAAAAATAAATACCGAGGGCTGGCAAGATGGCTCAGCTGGTGAAGTGCTTACTTCCAAGCCTGAAGGATGACTTACATTTGATCCCCAGGACCCACATTCTGGAAAGAGAGAATTAACTTCTGAATGTTGTCCTACTATCTCCACATGTGTGAAACCCCCATGCATGCACACACAATACACATATAAATGTAATTTTAAAAAATCAGTATTTAGCCACAGAAGAAAGGCGTGTTAGACTAAGACATTTATTTTTTTTTTCTACCTGTTTTCATGGTAGAGTTTTGATTTAAAACAAATCCAAGAAACGCCACCTTTATCCCAAAGCCCTTCAGAGGTTTGCCACCTACTCTTATTTATTGATTTCAATGTAACCTGTCTTACCAGATGATTTTTCACTCAACTCTTATTAAACAGTTATTAAAATGGGTTAACTGCTATATTCTCAGTTAGGAGTGTCTGACGAGAGACCCGCACCTAACTAGTGTGGAATGCATATTAAACCGTAGAGGAAACCAGCCTTTCTTCTCTAGAGAAAAGGAATAACATTCCATGTTGTAACAGCAAAAGTCTTTAATAATAAATGTGCAAGCTTTATATCGAAATAAATGATAAAACTATTGATGACTCAAGACTTAACTGAATACAAAGAAATATTAAACATCTCAGCCTGTATACATATTTATTATTTTAAGCCAACTAGTTTTCCTAAAATTATCTGTATATTTCTTTTACGCCCTGATGAAATCCCACCTTTGTTGTTGACTCTTGTAGTCCTGGGGATAAACCCTGGGTCTCGAAATATTCTTCATTCCTGATTGAAACCTGCACTCACAACAGCTTTTTGGTTTTGACAACTTTCTTTTTTAAAGTTTTTGGAAGGGGTAGTTTTAGATTTATAGTAAAATTGACTTCTTAGAAGGTGCAGTAACCCCCCCCCCCCCACACACACACATCTGCACGACTTCTATTAAAAAACAGCCACACCAGAGTGCTTCATTTGCCATGTTTGTCACACTGGCAATCACCATGATACAAAGAGAGTTTACACCAGGGCCCATCTGTAGATGTCTACATCCTGTGGTTTAGAGAAATACATTGTATGATCATCTAGAACATTTTGACCTCCTTAAACATCCTGTGCTTCTTTTTTCTAGCACAGCATAAAATTAATGTAAAAATTCACGTGGCAGAGAGCAGGTTTAGCACTGGGCAAGGAGAGTTGGAAACTGTGGCAAGTACTTTGTAAAATGGCCAATCCTGGTTCACATGCCTGGCTTCTGTCTGCATGGAAGCTGAAAGAATGTATGTAATTTTCTTCACATCTATGGGGCAGGGTGAATTTTGCCTCCTATCAATCAGCCCATACACCATCCGGGATTCTTAGAGATACTGGGAAGGTCTCTTCCCTCCAGGTACTTAGTGTCACTCATGATAATAGCCAGCAGCAAGTAGCTGGCTCAGCTGGGCTTTTGTGTTTCTGTTCTTGCTGTCAAGAAATGAAACACACTTTTATCTAATATAATTAAAGTTCACAGTGGATAATGGTTTGTTTTCTTTTCTCCCCCCCCCCCTTTTTTTTTTTTTTTAATTTTTGTTCTTCCTGCCTTCCATAGGAAGGGACTGGGCACTTGCCGTTTGTATTTCTTCTCTCACCAGCTTTTACTTGTAGCATTCTCTCTCTCTCTCTCTCTCTCTCTCTCTCTCTCTCTCTCTCTCTCTCTCTGTGTGTGTGTGTGTGTGTGTCTGTGTGTGTGTGTGTGTACTTATGGAGGACAGAGAACAGTCTTAACTGTAGTTTCTTGAGTGATGTCAAGAGACTGGTTATGTCAGTAGGTTGGAAATCATCATTTGTAATCTGCTGGCTGGGCAGAGCCTTAAAGTCTACCCAGAACCTTCATGCTAGGTGATGGGGGGGGAGGGAGAGAGAGAGAGAGAGAGAGAGAGAGAGAGAGAGAGAGAGAGAGAGAGAGTGTGTGTGTGTGTGTGTGTGTGTGTGTGTGTGTGTGTGTCTGTCTGTCTGTCTGTCTGTCTGCCTGTGCCTGTGCCTGTGCCTGTGCCTGTGCCTGTGCCTGCTCCCGCACGTGCAAGTGCGAGTTAAAGAAATGGTCTTAGTTTAGAGCAGTTTATTAAGAAGCTTTGGTCTTCACCTTTTCTATCACTAACACCCAGGTGA